TCTCTCTCTCTCTCTCTCTCTCTCTCTCTCTCTCTCTCTCTCTCTCTCTCTCTCTCTCTCTCTCTCTCTCTCTCTCTCTCTCTTACATGGGTATCTGGACATGTTGGGGTTCCAGGTCCCTCATCTGGACAGTCTGGATCAGGATATGTACATCTGCCCGGATGTTGGGATCTGTCCGGGCAGAGGTCGTTTTTTTATTGTCCGAATGGGTCCGGCGTCCGGGCCGCAGCTACTATGATAATAATAAATAAGTATGCATTTCAATTTCTTAGAGAAAAGAGCAAACTGGGGGGGCGTTCCGAGCTGAAAATGTGTTTTTGTTGGTCCATTGCTGGTGTTTAAATTTGTAACACAGGCCACCTACTTGCAGACATAGAGAAGATGAGAGGGAGGCTTTCGGGGAGCGATGAGTGGTTTTATATTACACCGGAGAGAAGCCGTGAATATCCCAGCAGGGTGAGGCCCAGATCCAACCAACTGAAGAGTTATCTTTTGCCCGAAATTGTCTCTATGATATCTACTGACTTCTGAGTGATTTTTAGTTTTGTCTTTTCAATCCTGGGGGCTGCACGCCAACTATTTCCTAGCCTTTAAGGTTCGCGTGTGATTTATTGACTGTTTTTTTCCTTTTTTCCCAGTCATCATCTCTTTGCTGCTCACAGATTATGCATAGAAATTGATATAATAAATTATTAATAATGCATATAACATTTCTATTTGTACACCATAATGCGTGTTATGTTATACATTGTCTCGTTGTATGTAATATACATACAGAACGATGAAGCTTGTGATCCGCTGGTGCTAGTTAATCTGCTACCTGGACTTCACTGTTTGAACAAGATCGTTGCCGACAAGATCTAATGAAAGGACAGATGGGACTCGTTGTCATGAAGAAGGTTTTCGGATATACAATGTGTACATTGACAACTGAACACCTCGTCCTGATGAAGGACTCCTCGTCATGAAGAAAAGTTGCCCGCGCGCACGAGAGAGAGAGAGAGAGAGAGAGAGAGAGAGAGAGAGAGAGAGAGAGAGAGAGAGAGAGAGAGAGAGGGGGATGATAACACCTAAGCCATCCCGACAGCTAATGACTCCCAGTTCTAACTTAGAAAATTGTGTGGTTTGTCTGTCTTCGGGCGGTGAGGGGTTGTCCATGTGTGTCTGTGTGCATGTGTGTGTGTGTGTGTGTGTGTGTGTGTGTGTGTGTGTGTGTGTGTGTGTGTGTGTGTGCAAGCATTTATGTGTGTGCACTGCGCAGGTGTGTGTGTGTGTGGATGTGTATGGGGGTGTGCGGATGGATGTGTGTGTGGTCATCAAGGATAGGTGCCAGTTATGGCTCTCGTTATGTTAGCTATCCGGAGAGCAGGATTCCATAGAGTATTCTGGGAGTCGCATAAGCATGGAGGAGGAACGGAAGATGCAAAGAAACTTCCACGAAGTCCTGGGATGAAGCGTAAGGTCAGTGGTAAAGAAAGGGGCAATGACACAGAGTGGGATGGTTTTGGTCAAGTCTTTAGAGAGATTGAGGAGCCCAGTTCGCGCACGCTTAAAAGTCCATCTTGTAAGGGCAGCTATGCGAGGAGACCACTGATCGCAGTTGAGGACAAGTGGCAGCTTTTGTCTCTGCCATCCACTCAATGGGAGATGGAAAGGACACGCGATTCCGATCGAGCATCACCATCACATGCTGGTGACTGGGACGATCAACTCTCCGGTCGCTTATCAACGATGAGACTTCAACAGAATGATGAAAAGGATGGACATGAAGAGATGAGCCTTGATCAGCATTATCACCGCAGCAGGTAATAGATCGTACTGATTTTTTGGTATTTTTCTTACATTCTGAAGGGTGCTTTTCCAGTTTTTTTCGTTCCGTTATCTGCAATTAAAAATTAACAAAATGATGAAAAAGGCTAAAAAGGGTGGAATCATGGAAATGAAAACAGATGGACCATTGGTGCATCTGTTAGAAGATAAGAATGCAGGTGTCCTAAGATGAGCTCAACGAGAACAGCAATCTCATGTGGAGCAAAAGGGCAAAAACTCATCTGATTTTGATTTCCAGTACGCATACAAAAAAAAAAAAAAAAAAAAAAAAGATGGACCATTCGAGAAGAACGCATGGTTTTGCAGAAATCGATGAGCTGTCTAATAACATTAAATCTGGCGGATCTCCGGTGTGGTTTCAATTTCGCCCTTGTTCTTTCGGAAACTATTTTCTTTTGTCCCTTTTTTTTTTTTTTTTTTCCTCCCCCCGTTTTTTGCATTCTCAGTTTATGCGTGTCATCCTTGCGCAGGGGCCATGCAATCAATCTTCTCTGTATCGTGCCAATTTTTTTAACGGGTGTCCCGGAGGACCATGTTTGTTTGTTGTTGGGCTTAGGGGATATGATCATGTTTGAATCTTTCGCAATTCTGCATCAAATATTTGCCCAGATGTTACGTAGGCCACTTGTGAAAACAAATCGGTACCGAAGAAAAAACAAAAAAAAAACGATTTTTAAGATATCAAGGGTGAAGTTTGAAATACCAAGATCTACAGAATGTACATGGGTCTCGCTCCACAGCACAACATTCCAAATGCATCTGGAACGGATCGTGGTCCTGATACATTCAATATGCTTTATCTGTCCCAACGTTTCTGGTCCATTTTACACTTCAGATACCTGCAGAATGTTGAGCAGTGGAGCAAGGCCCCAATTATCCAAGAACTCTGCCTTTCTCACAGTATCTGGCATATTGCTCCGAATGGCCATTATCACCTCATATTACTATTTCTAACCCACAATTAACTTTTTCTACTTTGGACCCTCTGGTGATTTTTCATAGAATTTGTGGTGCTTTGTTAGCTAGGACTGTTTTATTTAGTATTCCTTTTTTTGTTTTTTTCAAAATTTGTGAACTTAGTCTGACTTTTAAGTAAGTGTATACCAGTTTTATTCGTTTATTGTTTACGCGATTGGGAAGATTGAGTGTATCAGACCTGGAATTTGGCCCAGGTGCAATGAACCCGAACTGCAAACACCATCGACCATACTTGCAGCAAACAGAAACTTCACCGAAGATTCACTCAAAGCATTGACACGTGAATCAACACTCAAGAAGATGAAAGCCGCCTTCGGGATTTTCAGTTTTTTAACACAAAATTGAATTCGAGTTCAACCGGTTTATGGCCGCTATCGCCAAGATCACAAACAGGCAACTTCTCTCTCTCTCTCCCCCTCCTGCGCTCACCTTCTCTACCCCTCACTCTCTCAGTTCTTGAAGCGCTCAACCTTACCCCTCTCTCTCTCTCTCTCTCTCTCTCTCTCTCTCTCTCTCTCTCTCTCTCTCTCTCTCTNCTCTCTCTCTCTCTCTCTCTCTCTCTCTCTCTCTCTCTCTCTCTCTCTCTCTCTCTCTCTCTCTCTCTCTCTCTCTCTCTCGCGCGCGCGCGCGGATCGCTCACAATCACTTCTTGAATACACTCGCCTAGCTTCTACTTCGCCTTCCTTCTCCAACTCACGGCTACGACCGCCGCTGTCTTTCTAAAGTAACGTACTAGGGCGCCTGATCGCCGTCGCCTCCTTCTTCTGATGCTCGCCCAAGTCGCCTAGGTCGCACAAGCGATACAGCAGAGCTTCTGGAACATGTGAATTGACAAGTGACCCGCGCTGCCCTGTAGCAACTATAAATAGCACAGCTGAAGTGAATTGTTGTCGGCTCCAGACCGGTACTGGTCAGTTCGCCAGTTCCGAAGCCCACGGGACTTTCCCTCGATGCTGCTGCAGAACTGGACTTTGGGACCTCAGAGTTGTCTTGTCGGGTACCGGGGGGCCCACGACTTTTACCGACCGACTGCTGTGCCCTACAAACCTACGATGTTTCAACTTCTAGGACCTACTGGACTCCTAAGACCTGGAATTGGGACGTACGGGACCAATCCGGGACTGGGTGCAGGTGGGACTATGGGACCGGGACCTCGGACCCTGGATTCGGGGGGACTCGGGACATGAATACAGTGTGAAATCGTGAGCGCTGCTGTGCTGAAAAGTTTTGCAAACAGTATTTCATCGTGTTGCTTCAACTTGTGCTTGTAATGAGATAAACAACTGGAGACCCGGGCTCGAATCCCAGCAGCCACACCAAAAAACAGGAAGAGTCCGAAGAGGTGGAAAAAAAAAAAAAAAAAAACAGCAGAAAAAGAGAACCAGCTGGAACGTGTGTGGTTTTGCAATGCCCCCTGCCAACATAGAACCTCTCCTCATCGCCATACCTCTCTGTGGTGGCTGACATGTCATATGGGACTCAAGTGCCAGATGGTACAACACAGAGTGGGACAATCTGAGGTGGAACTCAGTGTCAGATGGTGCTGCTCCGCCCAGATGGTACATTCAGAGTGGTACCCTTAGCAGTCTCAGACAGTAACAACAAAAAGGGAGGCCTGTGGTACGTGCATTCAACTGCATTGAGCTTTAGTAATATATTTTTCGGTCTTGTCGGCTGAGCTGAATCTGGTCATCAGTGTGCAGCTGGATGAGTAGCAGCAGTGAGTAGTGGACGTCAGATGGGACTGGTGGTCCCACACTATCTGGAATCTACTGAGATTTTACAGCCACACACGAGAGGAGATCACCATGGTTTATTTATGTATTTAGAAAATGAAGTGTTATTTAAACTTGTTTTAACTTACTAACTTATTCACAAATTAAAAGTTTATTTAATGTGTCCTTCAGGACATCTTTTAAAATTGGAACGATACACAGAAAATTGTCATGGCCCCTGTGCAAGGATGACATCATGACACACATAAATCGAGACACGGTGTTTAGAAAAAATAATAATAAAAAAAAAATGTTGAATCAAGTTCAATCAACTTGAATGTTCAATGTTCACTATTGATTTATTGATTTATTGATTTATTTACTAGGCTACCAGCTGAGCCGCCGGGTCACCCTATTTTCCTGATCGTCCCGGCCATGCAAGAACTAGGGAAGGTCCCAGCCAAAAAAAAAAAAAAATCCAAAAAATCCTAGGCTACCAGCCGGGCTGCCCGGGTCACCCTATTTTTTCGGGCGGCCCGGCCGTGCAGGCACTCCCAGCCAACAAAACAATAAAAACAAATCCAAAAAATCCGAAAAAAAACTATGTTATGTAGAAAAATAAACTGAACAACTTTTGCCTCAGGGTCACATAGAAATTCTTTACGGAATTTAAAATAAAAATTATAAATTAAAAAACAATATTTATTTTTTTATTTTTTTCTTTCTTTTTGGCCCGGCCGGGCAAGTGGACCTGGGCCACTCTGGTATCCTAGAAAAAATCCGAAAAAAAACTATGTTATGCAGAAAAATAAACTGAACAAGTTTTGCCTCGTGGTCACATCGAAATTCTTTACCAAATTTAAAATAAATGCAAGGAAAATAAGTAACAGCGAGATGACAATTCCAGATCACACCATCACATTGAAAGCCAAATAGTCACACCGTGTCCAAAGAGCAGCATTGCACCAATAATACACCAATGGAGGTTTGTAGCATTGAAAACCAATGTTCATGGAGAGCAGACTACAAAAAAGACAATGCAACGGTTGACATCAGAGGCAGCCCGAAGTACTTGAAGATGTTGCCCATGCAGATCATCGCCAATACAAGGTAAGTGCCCTCACATCATCATCATCATCATCCTTCACCTATCCCCTGACTACACCCACACCTGTCCTCTCTTTCACCCGAAGACCACCCCTGCGCTTCACTGTAGTCCAAGCCCACCAGCTATGGTGGCTGGGCTATGGCGCTGCCCTCAGCAGCGCCCTCCTCCTCTGCACGACCGCACGTGCTGCACCTCGCCTCTCAGCGCCAGCCAGCAGCCGCGAGCCTTTGCTCCAGCAGCGCTGCTGAATTGAGGCTGCCTGGCCAGAGCTCTTTCCTTAATGGGAAGAGCTGGCCTGCTCTCACAGCCTGGCTGGGCTGGCCTGGGCCCAGAAGCTTCCGGAAAGCCCCAGGAGGCTGCCTGGATGCAGCAGCCACTGGGCTGCTGGGCCTCGTTCGGTTGGGCGCCCAACTGTCTCTGTATGAGGCTGCGAATCACGCCCAGGGCCTGCATTCTTCGGAAAGGCCCGGTAGGCCGTGGAAATGTCTTTGTTGCTCGGCCTGTGTTTCTTTCAACCAACTGGCGCGTCGCAACTGCCTGGACCCCAAATATGAAATTGACAGTCGAGGGCCTCTTGCAAAAAGCCAGGCCCGCCTTCACTTAGGGCGGGTAATGCTGCAAACAGGGCCCCATAGGCCTACCGAGGACCCTGATCCTCGCATTCCCTCCTCCTTTACTTCGTTAGCCCTCTGAGAAGTCTCTTATTCTGCAGGCATCTTCCCTTTTCGTTCTCTTTCATAGCCTGCAATCACTTGAGGTGCTGTTCTCATGAGTTCCTCTCGTGTGAACCAGCGATCTTCCTTGGGATCGAGGTGATGTCTGAAGCTCACACGATACTGCATTCTCGGTTTAGGAGGGCGCCCTCTGCCTGATGGTCGAGGAACAGGCATCATTCGATGCTCCACAATCTGACCGATGTCCACCTCGCCGTCCATGGTTGGGGGCAGCATTGATCTTCTTGAAGGAAACTGGTCAGTGGCAGCGAAAGGTGCCAGCTTGGAGGCATGGAACACAGGGTATGTGCGTAGGTGTGCAGGAATATGGATCACATATGAAGGCCCATCTGGTTGATCCCCTACAATATCCAAGATCTCCCAGGGCGCAAAATACTGTGGCATCAGTTTTTTGGATATCCCCAACTCCTGACCTAGTTCAAATGACTTTACCCAGACTC